GAAACGTTATTTAGGACTACGATTACCAAATATTATCTTCTATATATCATATTTATCAGTCCGAGCAGCGTTTATTAATTTTCAAAGTTTGATGTTTGTAGTTTTTTTGATGCAAATGTCTTGTCTCCTTCAATGCAGTGAAATCGTTCAAGATACTGAGAATTGAAACATGTAATATATTTTACTTGATTACATGTACACCATACATGTAGTTATGCCAGTGAAGTAATAAAGTTCACTGTTTAGGTACACTATTATTAGACCATTTATACCATTTAAAAATTCCAGGTCTATGCATTCTCACCTTTACCGCCACAGCATACAATAAATGGAGACATTTTCTCGATATGAGATCGACACTGAACGCACTTCTTCATTAAAGCTGCACAACCTAGAAAAGAAGACAAAGGTCTGAGGGCACTCTTTGGCTGTGAACATATGGACAAGCTGCAGATGATGAATTATTAGTAATCCTCTCTGAGCTAGGATTGCTCTGTCCATCCAATTATTGTTGTCGTCCACTTGTTGCATTCAACTTTACTGAGACTTGAAGTTCATCGAACGTTCAAGGCCATCAAGTGTTTGAGTTAAACAAGCAAGTTCATAGAGTGATTTTCAGTGCAATGTAAGTATTGTCGGACCGAGCAGAGAGGCTTTCTGCTTAGCTTTTGTGTGTATATATATATATTAATTTGTCTGTGATTGTTTTGTCTGGACTGACTTTGTTCAAACCTGGTCACACCTGTATTTTTAGTCAGGACAGGATTTTTTGGCAAATTTGTCCACTATCATTGCCATGGCAATTCTCAACAAGAGTGATTTTTTTCATCCCCAGCAGATCATCAATCAGCCTAGTAGCTTGTTGAAAGATTGAATGGTTCTGTGTCAGCTATGAATGAAACTGACACCAGACAAATTCATGAACTGAGAGGATGAAGGAAAATCATAGTGTATGTGAAATGCAGCCATGTTGTAAGTGCAGGACAGGCTGAATTCACGATCTACCCAACTCCAAAGTGATGTAAAATGGATTCCATTTCTTATACTGGCAAGGAATGTCCAACTTAACATCACCTTGGACCAAGGTAAATAATAGAGCATAGAGCCAGAAATTGACAAGTGTGTTTGTTGATGAAACAGCCAGTCTTACAAATGACATTAGAGCAATGAAATTATCATTACATAAAATCCATAATGAAGAAAATACATTCCCAATATGATCTGAGATGAACACTATAACCAGTTCTTTCGCAAAATCAATCCTTCGCATTAGGATCTCAAGAAATACATGTTCTGTGATTTTGTGAGACTCTTTAATGCTTGTACAGTAGCACGTACAGAGGTCAAATTCATTGAATCAATTCATTGAATTCAAGAATCTGCGATCTACAATATGAAGAATTTATGGTGTCCAAGAGGACATTGTCGCACCGAGGACAATTGTGGAATACAACTGGAGAATTTGCATTGCCATGATGACTGACTGAAACAAGACCACGAATTACAATAGACAGAAATTGTATTACTGGTAGGAACTTTCAAGCACTTTCTGCCATTTTAATATTGTTGTGTTGGTTCAAAATAAACATGAAATAGTCATATTGCATTGAATAGCATTCTTGTGCGTGTAAAATTCCTCCTTTAGACAATATGACAAGATCATGACTACAAAATACAGATTGATGTACATGTGTATCAAGTCAAATTCTGTACGCATAGCTGTGACCTACCAAATCCAAATGCAATATTAAGTGGTTTCCAACTCTTAGACAAGCATGGAATATCCAGTATAACATCGCACTGGGACAAGGGAGACAAAGTGATTGTTTTCACAGTGAGGATAGTTAACGTTAACTGAAAGCCAAAATTCATTCAGTGTGAAGCACTGCATGGTAAAAATATTTACCTTCTTATTCCTTGGATATACATGTTATGTCATATTAACATTGAGCACAACGTTTGACTGCCATTCATGCCATTACCATCTAGGGACCATGGTTGAACTAATTTGTACAATGGATGTTGCGAATTTGAGAGTTCCAGCCAATCAAATTATGGCTGTGGCATCTTTTTTACATAGCAATCTATAATGGATGAGTGACATTTGGGTAGAATTTGAATACTCACTATCGCAGGCACACATGTGACCACATGGCTCAAACAACGTAGACGCTTTCTTGTCAGAACATACTACACATTCTTCAATCTGAAGAGATATAAATCATATGAAAAAACATTAAATTATTGAGAATGTTAACAGAATACACTGATAATTGCACATACTTGCTATGCTAAGGCTAGAAATTACATCAATACAAGAATTTGTAGAATTCCTGATGTTTATTATCCCCCTTCGGTTCAAATATGCAACTTTGTTATTTTGGTCATGTCACAAAACATACATTGTATTAATATTCTAGAGTGAGGGGAAAGAACTAGCACCCCAAGTGGTCTGACAGTATAAAGAAGATAGTGGAACAGTAGATGCACAGACAACTTGAAAGCTCAAACAGAATGTAGAGGCAAGTCACAAGATGTAGGACATGATAGTGTGCAGAATAAGGTAGAATAAGGTGACAAATTGATAACCTCTGGACTGCATGAGGATAATACCTAGGGCAGGATAGTGAGAAGATGAACACAATTGAGTCTCACCTTAGTTCGGGATTGCACTGGTTCCTTGCACAGAAGACATTTTTTAACTCTAGGTGAACACAGCGAACATGTAGCTATATGACCACATGGTCCAAACAAGGTATCCCTCTTCATATCAGAACACACCATACATTCTTCATATGCCTCCTGTACTTGATGTGGGTGAATAGTAGCAGTATTGGGTGCTACCATCGGCTCACTACCAAGGTAACATACAAGACATTTTGGTAAAACATAAAATTTTTAAATAATTTACATATTTTTTATGCATTTATTAACTCATTCTTCAGATGACGAAGCAAGCAAGTCAATTACAGATTTGCAAGTTCTAGTTGATATAAGGGCTGACGTGATTAATACCGGTAGAGCCGTTACATCCTTTGGAAATTCACTGCTCTTGCTAGTGATTAGGAAACCTGGGTTATTTAATACACAGAGGATAGAAAGAGCACACAAGACATACAGATTTTATGATAGTTAATATTTATCTGATAGATTGACATTCTACTAAACCTATTAATGCATGACTGGTGGTCTGGGGAGAGTACACTGTAATTTATACTGCTTAGTCAGCAATATGTTTAAAGCGCGGTGGTCGTCGCGCAGCGCGTGTTTAAATTTCATGTAAAAAAAATTGTATTTTACACGCGTTGTACACGTCGCTATGAGTCTTATATCGAACAGGACGTGGCGCGGCGCAACGACTGCCGCCCTTTAAGAATTGAACCCAAAGCGTACCTGGGTACTGTACCACCATTTATTTTCACTGACATTTAACTTCACTATTTTGCTGTTTTGAGCATATTCACTGTGTTTTTTAATTTCACAAATTTGTCAAGCAAATGTTATTTTACATGTTCACATTAGATTTTATTTAGCGGGGGATGATGGGATCTCTTTGATGAACACAAACACAAAGATTTTTTTTACAGTTTTTGCTCTGCTTTGTTTATGTGTGGAAAACAGTATCATCAGTTTTGTTGCAACTTTGTTGATAAAATATTGGTAATTTACACAAAATACCTCGCAGACCATTTACAATCTAATCTCTTCATATTTGGTTAAAAAATGCATGTAAGTGTTACTAAAACATAAATTGATTATTGAAAGCTATTATGATATGCAGATTGTTAATTTTCCTACAAGAAAAATTTTGAATGTTTTAGGTGTAATTTGTTGTCAAGATACATGAAAGAATATTTCAACTTTTGAACATGTGAAGTTTTTCTGTCAACATTTTGGTACAGCATTTTGCATACATGTATTCTTAAGTATTTTCTTAAAATGTTTCTAATTTTGGACAAAATTAAATTAATTTCCCATTTAATACAGGTTTTTACAGTTGACATTTTCTGAAAACAATTTGAAAAAAATAAGGTGTGTCAGAAATGGTCTGGGCAGCCACAGGTTCAAATAAAATAATATGCAAATTATATTATTGTTATGCAAATTAAATTACTTTTATACACATATGTTATACTGTTGGGGGGGGGGGTGAATCATGTTGTTTTAGTAACCATGCAATCACTATTCAACCATGAATCCCAAAGGACCTACATAACAAATCGAGGTCAACAGTGACCCAGCCATTATTAATATAACTTGTACATACATATGCTTAAAATAACCTATGGAGACATACCTATAAATTCTGAATGAGTTATTTGTTTGGTTTACATACCAATTCTTGGCAACAAGACTAGAGAGACATTACGTGATACCAACAACCGGTAATACAGTAAACATTACACATAAGCCTAGCTTCATACTTCACAGTCATTACAGCGGAAATAATAAATGTTGTTACAGTAGCTCAGAGCACATATTAGTAACTACAATACATACATGTACTCTGTGGATAGACTTACCGGTACCATTTCATGGACTCCATGAATAAGAATAAGAAATGCTTAATCACACTTTACACAAGTGACACAAGGCATGTGCATTGTCTATTCTCACAAGATGGCCGTATTTAGCCATCACATGTAAACACAATGGAATCCACTGTTTATTGAATTGAATAATGGCATCGATCAACAAACAAAAAAATGGGCAAGAAATCGACAAAGGCTATAGGAGACAGACATTGGCAACGCATGTGGGGTTATTTTGTGGCATGTCTTTTTTCAGTGAATGTACTAAGTAAGCACAGGAAGTTTTTTTTAATTAATGGGTGTCACCCAGCTTTTTCTCAGCAGGAAGTTCATAAATAACAATAATGACCCTATTGGAGAATGGACGTTAATTCTTCAAATACCTACATATATAACTAGGCATAAACTTTTTGTGATGTACATATTAGCAACAAATAAAATTAAAATTGGTAGATTAATCAAGTGATATTCAAACAAATCACTTAATAAATACATTTGTTAAAATTCTTGTTGTTTGAAATCATAATTCTATATTATGCCTGATATCTTTTAATAGTGACTATCAATGACTGATTTTGTGGAATGAGAAATAATGTTCTGTATATTCTGGTTGCTCTATTAGAAATGACTCCCTCATATAGTCACATATACACTGAAAATTGCACTTATTATATACTGGATTATTGACATACAATCATTTTTGAAGACACACTTATATTCATTTATGTACACTAAGTGCATGTGTCACTAATATGGCAAGTATATACTATTAGTAACATCAACACCTATGCACCTTTTCCATTGACTGTAATATAATATGATGTTATAAAACTCTTCTTTGCTTTTTCATTCGATAATGACATTTAACTTTTTAATTTTGCAGTGTACTGTAAAATACCTTACTTTAGCTGGAATTAATTTTCGCTGAAAAGACTTTTTGGTTATTTTGTATAGAATTTATTTTAACTGAATTATTTCTTCAGCGAAAATAAAGTATTTTACAGTACCTGTGTATATGAAATGTTATGAAGTACCCCCTCTTGAGACCAACTTGATACATACCTTCGTTTTTCTTTATGGCACTTAGCAAGAGCTTTACAGAGGTTTGGATCAGGACATAAATCCAACGGTGATTGTCCTTTTTTGTTTTTCACGTTGAGATCAGCGCCATGTGCAGCCAGGAAGCAAGCAATTGACGCACTGCTTTTCTTGTCGGCTCCCTGGGTGCCTAGTCCCATGAGTAGCTACATAAAGGTAACACAATGAAATACAACAATTATGGAGAACAGAAAAATGGTCACATGACTTTGATTGAAAAAGATTTGAAAAATGCTGAAGAGATTATAATCTGTAAAATATTTTATTTTAAAAAAGACTTGTTGGATGTTTTGTATGGAGTTTTTTTTTCATTCATTTTTCAAACAAGCAGCCTGTCAGCTCCGCTGTTAGCAATGCACATTTCAATTAGGAACTGAAGATATCATTAGAAAATGAACAATATGTATAGTATTAAAGCAATCAGACTGGTTTTTAACAAGAAGTCGAAAATATCACTTTTTACCAAAAATGACAAAAATATTCATCAAAATTTAAATTAGAGAATTGAAGATATCATTTCTAAAAATGAACAAATCTGAGAGAGGTCCACATGTAGTACCTATATATTAAATATCAAAGCAATTGGACTTGCGATTTTTAACAAGAAGTCGAAAATACCACTTTTTACCAAAAATGACAAAAATATTCACCAAAAATAGAGAATTTGCAATTTTGACATGGAATGAATAAATCTGAGAAAGAACCATCCAAGGTACTTGCATAACAAATTTAAAACATTCTGACTTGCGGTTTCGAAGAAGAAGTTGAAATTGTAAAGTTTACGACGACGGACAATCAGTAATATGAACAGCTCCGATGTGTCCACTTTGTCGACAGCGGAGCAAAAAAAAAGGTAAATTCACTGGATTTTATTTCTCCTGAATCATCCCTTCAGCAAAGATTTAACAGTAAAGTCTGCCATTCTGTGGATTGTGATAAAATATGTCATGAATAGATCATGCATATTGTATGAAAGGAGAAGTCTGAAAGTCTGTCGCAAAAATCAAATCATTTGATTTTTGAGAAGGGAGTATTGCGTTGAGGTTTGCTCATTTCATGAAAATTCATCAAATAAGCACATTGTTAGGCATGGAAATACCCAAAAGTTATTTCATGTTTGTTGAATCTCACACGATGTTTTGTCATCATTACAATGCTATACCATTTAGTTGTCCTGTTCTTACGGTCGATTTCACACATGACACAGGATCTTGCAATGAGTAGAAAATAGTCTAATCTTTCCCCATAATGCAATGCAGGAACCCAAATAAACTTGAATGATTTTATTTTGTATATTTTTTTGAAAAAATTGATAAAGACTATCCATTCGATCCAAATTAAAAAAATTAAATGAATACATAATATTGGACCTAATTTTCCTTTGAAAATCATGGTCTACAACTACATGAACATGATTTTGATTTTGTTCACCTTCTTTGATAACTGTACCCTTCTATCTCTTCATAACTTGGGTCCTTCAGTTCCAAGTGTAAGTTTGAGTACTAGATTTGAAATAAATTGTTGAGTAATACTGCCACCAAGAGGTAACAAAAAGAGATTTGTATTTCTTTTTCATTTTGACCACACTATGCTGCGAACACGTTCCTGAATAATGTCATATCCTGTCACTATCACCATAACAATTTTAATAATATCATTTTTTTGCTATTTTTTTTAAATAATTTTCCTAATCTTGGACGTGTCCCCATTGGCTTTATGTCTCGATAATTTATTTTTTTTTTGAAAAAAAATTCCTCAAAAGCACTAAACACTTCTTCTCACAGACAAGGAAATATGTATTCTCACTTTTCCAACATCTTGCATATCCTGCAGTTGTCTGAGCTGTGATAATGTATGGTGACGGAGTGCCTCATGTAGTGGGGTATCACCATCTTTGTCAGGAATATCCAATTTACAACCTTCTCTTACCAGCAGCTGTTAAAAGGAACACAATAAAAAAAGCAAATTATTACAGGAGCAATAATACACATTTATTTCAATATTTCCATGTATATTAATCCATATATGAGCTTAGTTGTACTAAACAAACATACATTGGATAAAACATTAACATGTTCACATTATACATACATATGTAAACCTTGACAGCTATTTGCATGATGTTATCATAAATACATGCCACGTTACTTAAAATATACATGACATGCTAGTATCATGTTTTCACAATTTTGGCATCACAAGTTTAATAATTTTGTTAATAATTACATACTGTAGAATACTTTATTTTCGCTTGGAATTTATTTTCTCTATTTTCACTGAAGGGATGATTCCGTGAATATAAAATCCAGCGAATATACTTTTTTTCCTATATTTCACATTAAACTCATCAAAAATCAGTGAAAATAAATTCCAAACAAAACGCCCAAAAAAGCTTTTTCAGCGAAAATTCCAGCGAAAATAAAGTATTCCACAGTACATTTAAAATATGAAACAAATTGGTGGAAACACAGCTCATTCAAAAATTGGAAAACCATTAGCGACAGAAATATTTTTTTAAGAGCAGTAAAGATACTGGTCTACACACTACATACATGCAAAAACCAGTGATACAATTTCATGTGTGAATTGCTGGTGTATGACTATTGATAGCCCCAAAAGCTAAAGGTTTATTTTACTATCACAATCACAAACCAGTTTTTCTTATAAGTATTTATAAATTGCTATTATAAATTGAAACAATATGTCAGTTTATCAGTTTATCAGTTTATGTAATAACACTAGAACATTTTCAAATCCTTCATTGATGTCCTGATTTTATGTTAGACAGTGTGACCATTCATTAATAGTGGCACTTATTAAAATTAGACAAACAAATGTACCAGTATTGAAAGTGTTAGGGAGCCCTCTATGGTCATACTAACAACATGTTTCACACAATTTCATTTTTGACTCAAGTTTCATCAAATCTTGTTCATATTGAAGAGCAGTATGTTCAACTTTTAGGTATGATTGT